TCTCTTGTTATTTTCAATAGATTTGTCCACAACACTGGCTTATTATAGTTAAACATACTATCATCTATTTTTATTAAAACTTAAATTTGACTGCATTGTAGGATTTGAGAGCTGTTACTAATTCATACCAGTATGGATATCCTTTACATCTTGTCATGCTCAGAGTAGTTTCCTCTACTTTTAGGGTTGATTCTAACAAGCATACCAATTTCAAATAGAATCAGTCAAGGCCAACCAATAGTCTTATGATTCAGATACAATTAAGATCATAGTAAGACAATATAAGTAATACAGGATTTCAGCCTAAGTCAATAGGAAAGTAAGGATGGTTACCATGGTATAACCTGCTATTTTTGATTCTAGAGGTCTGTGTCCTCAAATCTGACATGAGTGGACAGACCAGAACAAATTAAATTCAATCTAAATATGGCACTAGGACTACTGTGTCTTTTAAATTGTTATACACCATTAGCAATGACCTCTGCTTTTTTTAAAATATAGTTTCAGAGCTGTCTATACTAAAGACTAGCTTACCGTCTCTGCCTCATGTCTGCTACTCCACTTTTCTGCTATAATTTGTCCACCTTATTCCCTCATTCCATTGTCTGCCCCGATCACTGAGGCCTCTCTGCCACTGTTGCTGGAATCCTGGTATCTCTTCCTCTCTTTCTCTGTAATGTCCTTCAGCGCTCTCTGTAGGGTTGGATTGGTGGCCACGAACTCCCACAGTTCCTCCTTGTCTTGAAAGTATCTTATTTCTTCATTAATTTTTAGAGAGAGTTTTGATGGATATATGAACTTTGGTTGCATATTTTTTTCTTTCAGGACTTGGAATATTTCTCCCCACTCCCTTCTTGACTTAAGAGTTTGTGTTGATAAGTCTGCTGTTATTTTGATCGATTTCCCGTTATAGGTAACCTGCATCTTTTCTCTGGCTGCTTTTTAATATTCTGTTTTTTTGGTGGATTTCTGGGATCTCGATTATTATATGTCTAGGCGTAGATCTGTTTTGGTTGTAGGTAGCTGGTGTTCTGTATGCTTCTTTTATCTGGATATCATTTCTTTTTGCTATACATGGGAAATTTTGCTTTAATATATCTGTGAATATTTTTTGTATTTCATTTTTGGATGTTCCTGCTTCCTCACTCACATTCTTTATTCTTAGGTTATGTATCTTTTTGTCATCTTCCAGTTTTAGAATTGCTTCTTTCTGGTTCCTTGTTATTTTTAAGAGGCTTTTTCTTTCACGTTCATATGCCCTAAATCTCTCTTCAAGTTTCAGAAGGCTGTCTTTAGTTTCTGTCAAGGCATTTTGCCAATGTTCAATGGAGTTTTTAGTTTCCTGATATTCTCTTTGGATCTGTTTCATGTATTCTAAGTTATGCTTAAATTCTTCTTCAGATGCTTCTCTTTCTTTTCTGATTTCCTCAGTTCTTCCATCTGTGTTCTCTTGGGCGGGGCTTGTCATTTCTTTAATTAATCTCTTTATATCTTGCCTCACTTGGATCAGGAGTACAGCTTTAAATTCCTCTATGAGATCATGTAGGTACTTTTTAATTTCGGCTGATGCTGTGTTGAATAGTGGATAGTTACTGTGCTTGTTCTCTTCAGTGTTTAGTTCTCCTGGGCTTATTTTCTCCTGTTGGGCAGCTGGAGATTTTTTTTTTATTTTTATCTCGTCATGTTTCTGGTTTCTTTCAGACTGTCCTGGAGTTCTCTGGCCCTCTCCGAATTGCTTAGGGCCTTTCAGAAGCGTGCTGGCTTGAGTTTTTGCTGTCCTCCCCAATTTACTGTTATCTGGGGTAGGCTGGGATGCAGGGGTGGTACAGGCTAGTCTCTAGCCTCTGTGCCAGTTAGTTCATAAATTAGGCTGTACTTTCTGGTTGTCACTGAGTTGTGACTATTTTGTATCTGCTTATTGGGCCCCAAGCAGAGGCTTGGTTTAGCCCCAGTAGCTCCTGCCAGATCTCTTTGTACCAGAAGCAGCTGAGTAATGTCACTATGGCACAGGGTTCTGCCCAAATCCCAGCCGCTCTCTTCCAAACCTCTCGGTGACAGGAGCACCAGAATAGCAGATCCTCCCAAAACCAAGATGTCTCCCACTAAGTTCTCTGTGTGGAGCTGAAGCCAGCAAGTAATCAGGCTCTGCCAGGATTCAAGATGTCTTCCACCAGCCCTCCCTAAGGGGGACCTGGTGATGTCACCACGCTGCAGTTTCTGCCGCCAGGCTAAAATGTCTGCACCAGACTCTGTGTTATTGATTTCCCCGTGGTGGCGGGCCAGCTGTTCTCTGGCCAACCCCAGCAGCTGCGGGGTTCCCAGTACTCACCAGAGTCCAGTGCAGGTCCTCATTCCGGGACCACCACACACCAAGCTGCCCACCTTTCCCGCACTCCCGGCACAGCATGGAATGGTGCACAGCGTGCGCTCCCGGCACAGCGCTGAACGGTCAGATATCTGTGCACCGTTTAGATTTGAAACGCCAGAGCTTTGTACATCCGCTCTGGTGCAGCGGTGCAGTCCTGGCTGCTACTTGGAGTCCTGGCCCGGGTCTCAGTTTCCCGCAGTCCCCAAAAGCAACTCAGCTTTTCCTGCTGGGTCCACGGGTCAGTTTGTTGATTTAAAGGCGCGGGATTTGCAGCCTCCCGTTATCAGCGTTCATGGTCTCAGCACGACTTTAAATCCTCCAGCTGTACTGTCTTGGTTAATAAGAATCGCTATCGATTTGTCTGGCCCTCTCCATGTTGTCATTTTTTAGCTTCTAGTATGAATTCTCCGGGGAGACTCTTCGCTCGATCCCCTAGCAAGCCGCCATTTTGACCCAATCTCTATTTTATTTTTTTTTAAGAAGCATGGTCTCACTATACAGTTCAGTCTGACCTTGCATTAACTAGCCCAGGCTGGCCTCAATCTCATGGGAATCCTCCTGCCTCGGCCTCCTAAGTGCTGGGACTACTGATATGCACCACCACACCTTGCCAGCCTTGTGTTTCTTACACCTTGACTTGGTTCTGACTTCACGCTCCTCTAGCTGTTGACTAACTGCCCCCTCAGCAAAATGAAATAGTCTCAAACTCCCGGCCTTGAGCAGGCAGCATGAGCTTGTGAGAATTCATACATTAATTTGATTTGATCATTTTTGTACTAACTTTTTACTAATAACTATAAGGTGAGTGAACTAATATGTATTATGTGCTTAAGAGTAAAATCTGTAGACTACAGCAAGTTCTACAAATGTATTTGTTATATATAACAAATGAACAAATCTAAAATGTTCTCCTGTTTAAACTTTTTTTTTTTTTGTCTTTTTCGTTTTTATCGGTACCAGGGATCGAACTCACAACTGCCTGCTTGCAAGGCAGGCGCTTATGCCACTGAGCTAAATCCCCAGCCCCCTGTTTAAACTTTTAATGGCTGTTTTACCTAGAAATTGGTCTAAATAGGAATTGAATGGAGTCAAAAAGTCTCTTTTTTCACAGACATCCAAATAGTTATATCTGACAGGGTTCTTCCAGCTTAAATCCTCTCATTCTTTTCTGGGAGTTTGGTCATCAGTAATTAAAAACAGTTCTATTTTATGAGTTTTTTAAAATGAGTTGTTGAACAAGCACACAGCATTCCAGGTGGAGGGACCAGCACAAGCAAAGTCCTTGCATAGATGGGGAGTTCAGTTCTTTAATAGAGATGAAGGAAGGTCTTGTTTTTCTTTCCCACTGCTGCATCACTGAGCTCAGTGCCAGGCACATGGCAGTTATCCTTGAATATGTGCTACAAGACATGTAGTTGCATTCTAGCCTGGCAGACAGGATTTTCTAGTTGATGTTTCTGTGTGTCCTATTGCCTCATTCATTGGCTTCTTTTCAGAGCCTTCTTTTTTTTAGCCCTCACATTTGTATGTTTAGCTGAATATAACAGAAGACCACCTCATACTGGTTTTGCCAGATTCAGGTTAGCAAACTCCAATAAAGAGTTAAAGGAAAAGAGCGAGAGACAAAATATCTTTGTGTAAGTTCCAAGTACTTCACTGAAATGAACCCCCAAACTCATTCAAATTCCCAGATTTATTGAGAAACAACACAGGTACAGTGCTCTGCTGAGCACAGAAGTTTGTTTTAGGTTATCAATGCATAGTGATCATTTGACTGAATTACTTTTATCTGGTTGTCCTCTAGGAACTCCCTTGTTTTCCCTGTAGGGTTCATCTCTGCTTGAGTTAGCAAAACATCCTGACTTCAGATGTTCTATCTTCTCAGAGTTACAGGTCTTCCATTCTTTGAGTCAACTCAAGCAGACATTAATCTGTTGAGTGTCACAAGGAACTCCATAGGTTTCATTCTGAAAAAAACTTACTACTTCACCTAATGAAAAAGGCAAAGTTAGTGTTGGCCCCAGGTTGACAGATGACATTCCAGTTCTCTAACTGTTTTCTGTCCTGATTTGGGTCATCAGGCCAGCACCTTGTAGGTGCTGTAAAACAACTATAGTAAAAAGCTCCACATTTGATTAAGATAATGTGAAATAAAGGCTTTTTCCATAAAGTGGTACTGGGCTTAATTCATCTGTTTAGCTCATTTAGCTGACTACCAGTAGATTCCATTCCTTAGTGGATTTGCTTCAGTGTTTGTCAACCATCTGGGCATGAAAATTACCTGAGTGGCTTTAAAAACCACCAATGCTGTACTTGGGAGGTTGAAGCAGGTGGAGTGCCACAAGTTCAAGGCCAGCCTGAATTACTTAGTAGGACCCTGTCTCAAAAAACCAAAAGCAAAGCAAAAAAATAAAGAAACAACAAAACCCTTCAGAACTACCAGTTCTTAGTCCTGTGCTCACCAGTTTTAATTTTTTTTTAGCTTAGATTTGCCAGGTAGTCTTGATGTACTGATTGACTACGGAACACCTTGTGGAGCAGGGGCAAGGTTTCCTGTCCTTGTGTTGAAGGTATGTACTCTCTGAACTTGAGACTTCCTCTTTATCCATGCACCACTTATTTCTCATGGCAGGGCATCCTGTTCCAAAAGCAGAGCTGATGTGTCTCCTAGAGTATGGACAGAGACTGTGGATGATGAAGAGAGCTCTCCTACAACACACCTGCACAGGTAAGGGCCTGAGAGTGTGGCATGAGGTGTCAGAGCAGTCAGCAAAACACTATGGGATTATGGCATCTGAAATTCTGAAGACAGCTCCTTTTTGTGGCCTTCCTTGGCTCTTGAGTGATTATAGATCTCTTTGAATTGTGATCCCCTAACTTCCCTCCCCCAACATATACTCTTTACCTTTACTTGGAACAGAATGTGGCATATCAGGTAGAAGATAGGTTGTGGGCCTATATGCTACTTACTAGCCTTTTGACTGTGGAAGTTACATGACCTCACTGTGAAAATGATACAAGTTAGGCTGAGTTTATGTGACCTTCTCTAAAACACAAATTCAAACCTTTTAGTGACTCAGCAGATTTTTTTCTCATTCATATCATAGTTTTATTGTGGGTCACCAGGAGAGCCCTACACCACATATTATTTAAGGACCGAGGGTTATTCTGTTGTCAATATGTGGTTTTTAGTTTCCCTGGCCAAGAGGACAGTACTCATATTCACTTGTACACATTTCCTTCCTTTTACATTTCATTAACAAGAACAGTTTTGAGCTACATGTAATATCAGGCTTAGAAAAGTGGTTTTGCCTTTTGTTCAAGGAAAAAAGCCCATGTTATGAGCATTTACTCAGTCTCTTAAACTTGGCCTATGTTTGAAAAAAGTAGTGAGAATAGTTTCTGCATCACTGGGTTGAATGTAATTAGGTAACAAGAAACTGTGTAGCACACTGCCTTATCCAGGATGACTTGACAAAAGTCACCTATTATTAGTATGTATGTATTATTAGTCATAATGAATAGTGACATTTCAAACTTACTTCCAAATTCAACAGGTGATCCTTTTTCTGAGACTGCTACCTCCAGCTGTCCATTATGTTCTACCCTTTTCCCATCCAGTCATTGATTGTCCTGTGCATACTTTCATGCATCCAACTTTCTGTTTGCGAATCTGACTCAGAAACAGTCCCAAGTCCTCTTGTCTTCTTGCCCTCCTGCTTTCTTGCAATCTCTTGGCGACATGTTTGCCTTTGTTAGTCCTATACCCTTGCTCCTAAGGGCAGCTAGAGCTATCAAGTATGTGAATTGGTACCTTTGCAGGTTTATGATTGCTTGTTCTGTAGGAAGATCTAGGTAGGGGGAGGGTATAGGCAATTCAGTTACTCTGGTTTCTTGTGTCCTTTCTGGTAATTTGAGTCATTTAAGGGATTTGTTCACTTTAGTTACCCATTACTTTTGAAGATGCTTCATCTTAAAATGGTAAATATTATATATATTTTACTATAATAAAAGGTGAACTGTATATGATTTGTATATTTCATTCATATAATACCGTGAAAACTGATCTACTTTTTCAAAAAATTTTCTGAAATATTGTTTGAGTATATTTATATGGGTACATATATTTCTTTTTTGGAACATTATGAAAAGTGTATGATGGTGCATGTTGTCTTCAAAGATTTTTACTTTTTTTTGGTGGCAGGGATTGAACTCACAACCTCACACTTATCAGTCAGGCACCTATCCTGCAGATCTAAATCCCCAACTCCAGATTTTTACTCTTTATTCAAAGAATGTTATTAAGATTCATTGTGTATATAGTTACAGATCATTCATTCTTTTTATATTGTAGTCAATTGCATGAGTAAACTATAATATGTTTATCCATTTTCAGGGACATTTGCCTGTTGAAGGCTTCTTGTTCTCATAAACAAAGCTATCATGAACATACATATAAATGTGTTCTTATGCACATGTATGAGTTTATTTTACTAATGTTTATCTATTTTGGATTATAAGGTAAGCAATAGGAGAAATCTGTTAGAAGATACGCTGGTGTTTATTAAAATGATTACAATACTTCTGCTTGCCAGGCATGGTGGAGCGTGCCTGTAATTCCAAACCTTAGAAAGCTGAGGCAGGAGGATTACCAGAGTTCAAAGTCAGACTGGACTGTATCGTAAGTTTAAGACGACATAGTAGTACATAACTCTCTCAGAAAAGCAGAAACAAAAATGAAATAATCCTGCTTTATTGAGGTGAGGGCATTCCAAGATCCTCTGTGTGAATCTGAAATCAGATAGTATCAAACCTTATAATACTGTGTTTATTTTCCTACATATGCATACCTTTGATAACTTTAATTTCTAAATTAGGTGCAATAAGGCATTAACAACAAGTAATAATAAAATAGAGCAGTTATAATAAAACATTGTAATAAAAGTTAGTGAATATGCACTCTCTCCAATTTCTTACAGTAATATTTTCAGACTGTGGTCAACTGGGAATAAAGACACAGAAAGCAAAACTATGAATAAGGGAGAATACCCTATACTCACTTATGCTGTATTTGCATTGTCTGAACAATTCCATGGATTCACATTCCCTGTAGTACTCAATATTGTCAAGTTCTTAAATTTTTTCAACCAATGGGGGCTGGGGATTTAGCTCAGCGGCATAAGCGCCTGCCTTGCAAGCAGGCAGTCATGAGTTCGATCCCTGGTACCGATAAAAATGAAAAAGACAAAAAAAAAAAAATTTTTTTTCAACCAAGAAATTATAAAATGGTATATCACTATGGTCTTAATTTGTTTTTGCTTCATGTCTTAATTACTTTCCTCATTGCTGAAACAAATACCCAACACCCACAACCTAAAGGAAGAGGAGTTTATTTTGGTTCATGTTTCATAAGGTTTAGTCTTTGTGTGGGATATGGCTTGGGCAGAGCAAAACTGCTCACCTCATGGTAGACAGGAAACAGAAAGCCAAAGGAGCTGGGAAGGACTTTCTAGGTCACATCCCCAGCAACCTCTCTTTCAACCAGATCTTGCCTCCTAACAGCTAGTCAGTTATACCACCCCATAATTCAGTGACCTTCCAAAAGCCCTGCCTATGAGTTGTAGTTGGGGGAACATCTAGATGTAAACCATTACCAAGAATTTCATACACTGGTTGACTAACATGAGTGTTAAAGTTCCTAACTATAATTTTGAGTTCATTTGTCCTTTCTGTTTTTTTTTTCTAATTTTTATTTATTATCAGCATATATTTTTTCTTTTTTTTAAAGACAGGGTCTTGCTATGTACTTCAGACTGACCTTGAATTCACTGTGTATCCTACACTCATTTTTAAATTCTTTGTTTTGTTCTGTGTTTTGTCTTTTTGAGACAGGGTCTTGCTATGCAGTTCAGGCTGGCCTTGAGCTCACTTTGTAGCCCAGCCTAGTCTTGAACTCACAATGATTTTCCTGCCTCAGCCTCCTGAGTGCTGGGATTACAGATTTGAGCCACCACACCTGGCTTCATTTTTCAATTCTTATAAAGTCCAAATCTCTTGCCTGATGGGTGGTATCTATTGGGAAACGTTTTGTTTTTGTATGGGGGATCAAACTGATGACATTGGGCTTACCAGGCAAGCACTTGAGTCACTGACCTAAATTCTCATTCACTGTGTATCCTGCACTGGCCTCAAACTCATGGCAATCTTCCTTTTTTAGTTTCCCAAGTGCTAGGATTACGGTTGTGTGCCACAAACCCCAGCTCCTCAACTATTTATATATTTATATTTATTCTTGAGTCTGGATCTCACTATGTAGTTCAGGCTGGCCTGAACTCATTGTATAGCCCAGGCAGGCCTAGAATTCATGATGATCTTCCTGCCTCAGCCTCCTTAGTGCTGGGATCACAGGTGTATGCCCCCATGCCTGGCCTCAGATTTTTATTTTTATTTATTTATTTATTTATTTATTTATTTATTTATTTATTGTCTTTTTCGTTTTTATTGGTACCAGGGATCGAACTCACGACTGCCTGCATGCAAGGTAGGTGCTTATGCTGCTGAGCTAAATCCCCAGCCCCAGATTTTTATTTTTATTAATATATATTTGAAGTACATGATGATTATATTCATTATGGGAAGTTGGTCATGTATATAACACATCTTAATTTCTTTTATACCCTTTTCCACACCTCTCAACTCCATGTCTTGGTCTTCTTTCCACTGGCAAAAGATCTATCTCCCTGTTTCCTATTATTTCTCCTACCAGTTAGTTTTTGCTTCATGTATTTGAAGCTTTGGTGTCTGTTGCATATAAGTTTAGGACAGTTTTGTGTTGTTAGAAAATGAATTCTTTAAAAATCATTATGTAATGTCCTTTTTTTCTCTCACTTTCTTTTGTCTGAATTTGGCTATCAGATATTAATATAGCCATATTTTCTCATCTGTTTTATTTTTAGTTTAATCAAATCAACTAGTTTTTCTTTTATAATTAATGCATTTTTATCTTATGTACATTTTATAATTGTATTATACACCTCTAGTTCTCTCTTCCACTTTTTCCATTGACAGTTAATTTTACATATATGACTCCAATTCCCTGAAATATTATAATACTAACATTTTACATGGCAAATTCTTCTGTTTTATTCTTCTTCAGAGATACTTCATCCTAATATAAATTCTACAATTAGCTTTTCAATATCCGTGAAAAACTATTGTAGTTTTACCTGATGTATATTGGATTTATGGATGGACTTGGAATTACAATTTTTTATTATTAATCTTTTCATATAATCCTTCATGTTTTAAATATTAGTTTTCTTTATCTACATGTTGTCTATTTTGGGGATGTTCACCTGCTCTTTAGTCTGATATAGCAGTCTCAGTAGACATGTCCATTTGCTTCTCACCCTCTCTACTGTTGTATAGCCCGAATCTTGACAGTTTTTTTCTCTTTGCATACATTATCTCCACTATTCTTTCACCCTCTTCACTTTGCTAAGCATTTGGCGTCTCTTAAAACTCTGAATCTTTGTGACTTCTTTTTTTCACTTGCCAGTTTCCCTCTTAATTCTTCGGTCTGGTAATTCTTATTCCTTTTTTTTTTTTTTTTGTCTTTTTGAGACAGGGTCTTACTATGCAGTCCAGGCTGGCCTTGAGCTCACTCTGTAGCCCAGGCCAGTCTTGAACTCGCAATGAACCTCCTGTCTCAGCCTCCCAAGTGCTGGGATTACAGACATGAGCCACCAGGCCCGGCCTGTAATTCTTATGCTTTAGAAGTAAGCACACATAAGCACCTTTTCTAAATTGCCTCCACAGATCTCCTTATGTCTTCCCTCTGGGTTAGCTATTCTGTCGGTCTTGTTTGAATGACTTGAGACTTCCTCTCTTAGAGTATATTAATTATACACAGTGTAATCCTTCCTCCGTCTACATTCAGGAGAGTTAGAAATAGTCTTCTTTCCAGGTTTTCTCTCTCTTGTCCCACCTTTTTATCCTTTTGAAGATGTCAAGAACCAACAGATTAGAAATTGTAAATGTGGTTTTAAGGTATATTCCAAATGCAAGATGGACATGGCAGTACACATCAATAATACCAGCACTTGGGAGGCTGAGGTAGGAGGATCACCATGGGTTTGAGGCCAGCCTGTGAGTTCAAGACCAACCCTGAACCTACATAGCAAGACCTTGTCTCAAATACAAACAAAAAACAAAAGAAAACATACAAATTCAGGAGGCCTCAAAGTCACTGTATTTCCATCTTAATGTTTTTACTAAAGTGGTGATTTCATCTGTTTTGTTTATGTCACTAATAGATGGTTTTTATGTTGACTTTCTTTTAGGTCAGAAAGCAAAAGCTGATACAACAGAGCCCACTGATTCTCAGCTGGCCTTCTCCAAGGAATCCTTTTACCAAGATCAACTGATACAGAGATCCTCAAGGGATTCCAGGTTGGGGCATGCCACACATGAGGAAAGGCTATTAGAGACACAAGAAGGGAACCTGAGGCCAGGAACAGACCTCTCTAAGGAGACATTCTCTGGAAAGCTAAGCCACAAACTTGATAATTTAGAGACAGGTGATAACCTATGTTTAAGAGTTTCACAGGAACAAGTCATGGCACAAGATGATAGCCATGAACATGACTCTAAAAAGTCAGGGAAAGAACATTTGATTAAAGCAAGGAGCAAGCCCTATAAATGCAAACAATGTGGAAAAGGCTTTAGCAAGAATTGGGCCCTTACTCAGCATCAACAGATTCATACTGGCATGAAGCCCTATGAATGTAATGAGTGTGGGAAGGCCTTCAAACGCAGGTCTCACCTCATAGAGCATCAGCATATACACAGTCGAGAAAAGCCATTTTTGTGCAAAGAATGTGGGAAAGCTTTTTACTACAGTTCTTCGTTTGCTCAACACATGAGAATTCACACTGGAAAGAAATTTTATGAGTGTAATGACTGTGGAAAGGCCTTTACTCATCGCTCTACTTTTATTCACCATAATATGACTCACACTGGAGAAAAACCCTTTATATGCAAAGAATGTGGAAAAGCTTTTGGTCTGAACTCTTCCTTCACTCAACACATGAGGATTCACACTGGCGAAAAGCCCTATGAGTGCAGCGAATGTGCAAGGGCCTTTGCTCATCGCTCTACTCTCATCAGGCATAAGAGAACCCATAATGGAGAGAAACCCTTTGAGTGCAAAGAGTGTGGCAAGGCCTTTCGTGACAGTTCTTCCTTAATTCGGCATATGAGGGTTCACACTGGTGAGAAACCCTATGAATGCAATGAATGTGGTAAGGCCTTTACACAGCACTCTGCTTTTATCCGACATAATAGGACCCACAGTGGAATAAAACCTTTAAAGTGTAATGAATGTACAAAAGCCTTTTACTACAGTTCTTCCTTCATTCGACACATGAGGAGTCACACTGGAGAAAAGCCCTATGTTTGCAAAGAATGTGGAAAAGCCTTTACTCAAACTGCAAATTTTGTTCGGCATTATAGAATCCACACTGGTGAAAAACCCTTTGAGTGCAAAGAGTGTGAAAAGGCCTTTGTTGACAATTTTGCTTTAACTCAGCATATGAGAACTCACACTGGTGAGAAACCCTTTGAATGCAGTGAATGTGGAAAGACCTTCAGGCATAGTTCATCCTTTACTCTTCATCGAAAGATTCATAGTAGAATTTAAAAGGTATTGAAAGGCCACCTGGACGTGGTAGCACATAGCTGTAATCTCAGCACTTGGGAAGCTGGGGCAAGAAGATCACTGCAAGTTTGAGGGCAGCCTGGGTTATGTAGTGAGTTCAAGTCAAGCCTGTACTACAAAGAAAGACCCCATCTCATAAATAAATAAATAAAAAGCTATAGGAAGAACTTTTAAAACAGTGTTCTTAGTCAACTTGAGTGAACACATTTTGAAATATCTTTTCTTTTGAATGTAACAATTAAGGAAAATATTTTGAACAGAGAAAAACCAGTGTCCATAAGTTCATATTGAAAAGAAACAATAGTCATCCCCTTGAAAACTTTATGGTAGGTCATCTCTTGTCATCTAAAGTATATTAGAAGTTGTCCCAGCCTGAACCTTATGTCACATCTGAAAATTGCCCAGCAAAGAGTCACTGCGGTTATTATGTCTTTAGGTAAAATGTTAGCAACAATTTCTTTTAATTTATACAAATATCTAACTTGGTTATTTTTTTTCTTTTCTTTTCTTTTCTTTTTTTTTTTTTTGTACCAGGGATCGAACTCATGACTACATGCTTGCAAGGCAGATGCTTATGCCTCAGCCCTAACTTGGTTATTTTTTTAAAAACTAAGAAATGAGCCAGGCATGGCTCATGCCTGTAATCCCAGCACTAAAGAGGCTGAGGCAGGAGGATCGTTGTGAGTTCAAGACAGTGTAGGCTACGAAGTAAGCTCAAGGCCAGCCTGAACTGCATAGTGAGACCCTGTCTCAAAGCAAAACAAAAAACTAAGAAATGGAGAATGAAGTGTAAAAGAAATGTATGCATGCATTCCTTCCAATTTCTCTGTCAAGCCAGGGTAACAGGTGAAAGATTAAAAAGGGCTCATCCCTCTTATGTGTTTTTTATATATCTGTGATCTGGAGAATTGACTCATAAGGACAACTTTGCCAACATTTATTAAGAGCGTTCTTTGTTATAATACATAATTTTTATCTTCAAGTAGTTTTGGTAGTTGTTAAATACCTAGATGCATGCAAACATCTTCATAGTTACAGGGAATTCTTATTCCTGGTCGTTATGTTATATGAATTTGAAACACTGAATTTGTGAATTAGAGTCATTGTTGCCAGGGAAAATACTTGGTTAGGTTGTTGGGAGCCTCTGATCCAAACATTTTCATCAACCATTATATAGGTTGGGTGGGGGATTTAGCTCAGTGGCATAAGGGCCTGCTTGGTCATGAGTTCGATCCCCAGTACAAAAAATTACATGTTGTTTTACATGTTTTCTCTATTTAAAGATACATTAATACATGTTTCTTAAAAATTATAATTTTTCTTTATAATAAAGTATTTTAACTATAGTATTTTGTTATACTGTAGTATATTGTTACTATATCTCTTTAATTCAATTTTTTGATAGTTTTTTGTTTGTTTTTGGTTTTTATTTTTTGAGATAGTATCTTACTGCGTAGCCCAGGCTGGGCTTGAACTTAATGCAGTCCTCCTGTCTCAGCCCCCTGAGTGCTAGGATTACAGGTATATGCCATGATGCCTAGCTAACTCAGTTATATTCACACAAGCACAGTATTTATATACAGCACACATATCAAGTAAACACTGCATAGTTCTAATACTGGAAACAGTGTTGTGGACACAATCTATAGTGTGAAGTATAGCCAGGTACATCATGTTTTAATGTTTAAAAACATTGAAGAAAAACTAGAATTAGTTAACTAAGATTAAAATTTGATTTTGGATGGAGCTACAGGATCTGTGATGGGACAGTACTCTGTGATTAAACCTCATGACATTGCTTTGCCCCAAGAAAACAGAGACTGATGGAACTTAATTCTGCAGAAGAGAAAGACATTTGTGAGTGTGACACGATAACATCTGGTATGGTCTCTGGTGTTTGACTTTCACCACTTGATAGTTTCACCAACTTTCCCTCCTGAATTGGCTTGAAAAAATACGTGTTTTATCTGTTAGTTTTTCACCTTAAATCTTTTTTTTTTTTTTTTTTTTTTTTTTTGGGTACTGGGAATAGAACTTAACGACTGCACAATTGCAAAGCAGGCACTTAATGCTGGTGAGTTAAATCCCCAGCCCTTCACCTTAAATCGTAAGCATCCCACCATAAAAGGAATGGAGTGAGGCAAGGGGTACAATCACTTGAGTATGGTCTCAAGTTTCATTCATTTACCTATAAAACTTTCCAGTTTATCCTTATTTATGGCTGAGTAGCACACCATTGTATAAACATACCATATCTTTTTTTTTTTTTTAAATTTTTATTTAAGGAGAAAAGAAAAGAAAGAAAAAAAAACAGTGAAGGGGTACAAGTTATACAGATTTACAGAATAAAAAAATGCGCAGTAGGGAATCACTAGTTAATGGATTACATATTGCCATCTTAGAAATAATTATTCCAGTCACAAAATTAAAGCTTGTAGAGTGGACATTCCAACAATGATACTACAAACAGTTCTGTTCAATGATCCAATAAAACTCTGTGATATCATTTTCTATCTTATACATTTAAATATACATGCAGTTATATAGTTTAGAGCACTTTCTTTTCCTCTCTTTTGTACAGTGACTATTACACATTTTGGGTTTCATTGCTCCCACGGTTCTTGTTGCTTTTTTGGAAGAGAGTAAAACCAAATGTGACATAACAGAGCAGAATCGGTCAAGTCAAAAGGGTGGACATAATAGATAATATAAAAACATAATACAAGGTGATCAACAATGGTTACCATAATGCCTCCCGCTATTTCTAATAGAATTGCCTATATCATTAGTTGTAATACAATTGAACAAAACCGTAAAGAATAAAACCGACAAAACCAAAACATTGGAGATATTGTAGGTCTTCAAAAGTAGATAAAAGTCAACGAGAATGGGCGTTATAATGAATCTCATTATCTTCTCAGCTGATGCCTAAACTTTCGAACCTGATACTATCCAGCAAAACAGAATAGAGGAACCTCAGTCAATAACAAGATGGTGAGAGTAACACAGGGTTTCAAATCGAGATAATAGAAAGTCAAAGTGGGTTACTATATTATATCCTGCTATATTTTTCCCTTTAATTAAATGGATAAAAATAAAAAAGTAAATAATGGAGTGGAGATTGAGAAAAAAAGAGGGCATAACAGCGAAACAGGGCAGATCAAAACATAACCATTTAAGCAGAATAGTGTTTCACCACCAGATAATCCTGACCCAAAAATAGTTACCATATTGACTCCCTCCCTGAAGTCCTTGAGTACAACTTCATATACTGTAGCATTAAGTATATCAAAACAATGTAAATCCATTTAAGAGAATGACAGCATTATAGAGTATTTAGAATCGACTAACAGAAAATGAACAATGGTCTCTGTATAATCTCCTTGTCTTTAAAAGGTTTTTTCTTATACTATCGTACATAACAAAATCCAATAAGATACAACCTGTTTAGACCATTGGAGACAGAAGAACAAAAGCTAGATGAGACTTCAAAACAAGATGGTACTAAATCAGCATTACCTATTAAGATGTCATTTTCTCCAAAAAAAGCTGTTCCTATCATCCAATCTTCTCTGTCTCATTTCTGTTGAGCTCTTTTTCTGTCAGTAGCTGTCAGTTTGTCTTCTTCATTTTGTTCTCTGCTCCATTCGTTGTGGCTTCCCCGCCCCTATTTCTGGGTTCTTTGTATTTTTCTTTTTTTAGAATATCCTGCAATACTTTCTGTAGGGTTGAATTGGTGGTTGCAAATTCCCCCAGTTCCTCTTTATCCTGGAAGCACCACGTTTTTCCATCAATTTCCAGGGACAGTTGTGCAGGATATCTCAATCTTGGCTGTAGATTATTATCTTTCAAAGCTTGAATTATTTCTCCCCATGCTCTTTGTGATTTGATGGTTTGTGAAGAGAAATCTGCTGTAATTCTGATGGGTCTCCCCTTGTAAGTGATCTGTTTCTTGTCTCTTACAGCTTTTAATATTCTGTTCTTGTATTGAATTTCTGGAATTTTTATTATTATATGCCTGGGTGTTTCTCTGTTAGGGTTGTAGGTAGCTGGGGTCCTGTATGCCTCATACATTTGAGTATCTTTACCTTTTGCTAAATTAGGAAAATTCTCCTGGATTATTTCTGTGAGTAGCTTTTGTAGTTCACTTGTTTGTGTCCCTACTTCTTCTTTTATGTTCTTAATCCTTAAGTTATGGCTCCTCTTATCATCTTCTTGTCTTTGTATTATTGCTGTGTGTTTCTTTGTTATTTTTAAGAAGTTTTTCATTTCATTCTCCCATGTTTCAAGTCTGCCCTCCAATTCAGATAGTCTGTCCTTAGTTTCTTTCAAGCTGTTATGCCAGTCTTGGGTAGACTTCTTAATTTCTTGATAGTCTCTTTGCACCTGCTTCACATACTCAATGCTTTCTCTGTTTTCTCCATCAAGCAATTCTCCCCTCTTTTTCTGTTCTTCCATTCCACCATCTGCTTTTTCCTGGGTGGTGCTTAGCATTTCTCTAACTATTCTGCATACTTCTAGCTTCAGGTCATTGATAACTTCATTCCTGAATTGGTCTATGTGGCTCTCTAAATGGCGCTTAATGTATATTGGTGCAGTGTCCTCTATTGCCTGATTGTCAGGATTGGGGGTCGAGGAGCCTTTTTTTTTGCTTCCCTTCCCCATATTTTCTGTTCCTTATAAAATGTAATCTTACACAGGAGGCCCGGCTTCCCTGCCTGTCAGCCACAGCTTGATCAAATTGCGCTGGCTAGTTGTTCCCGCTCACCGCTGCGCCCCAGGGAGTTGCGGAGGAGGCAGCCTACGCGGGAGTCGGTCGCTCCTCCGGGCCACCGTCAGGCTCTGGGATCTGGGTTAGGCCAGCCCAGGGAGTCCGCGAGCAGCGTCCCTCCGGCCAGGCACCTTTCACCAATCCCGTCCGAGAGGGAAACGTGCGGCTGCAGTGCCACCGCGCCCTGCTCTTACAGGACTGCCCGCGCCCAGAAAAACCTCCGCTGGAGTCAAACTGCGGTAGGGAGTCAGTTCCTCGCTCACCTTGCCACCAGTCAGCCTTCCTCCCTGACCGTCGCGTCTCCGACTCCGTTCGCAAACTCCCGTTCCCAGAGCTCGGTGGGCGCGTCTCTCCTTGCCGAGCCGCTATGAAGGCGCCGGCCGCCGGGCGGGGCGGGAAATCCAAACCGCGGTTTCCAATGGCGCGGAGTCGAGCCTCCACACCGAGATTTTTCTGTTCCTATTTTAGCGCCAGGACTGTATTCCAAGTTGGATTCTCTCAGCCCAATTCGTTCCTGAGTCAGCAGAGCATATCTCTACTGGTTCGTATCTCCTTAGTCCGCATCATTCCTGGCCTCTGAGCCGAGCCTTTAGAGAGCGTTCAGTAGTTGCTGTTGTCTGTCCGCCATGTTCTCCGGAAGCCCTCCATACCATATCTTTTTAAAATTTTAAGAGATTAATACAAAAGAAGACATAACAGAGCAGATCAGAACAATTTAAGTAACACAGTATTTCACAAGACAACCTGATATTAACAGTAGCTACTATGACATCTCTTTCTTTGAAATAGTTGAGCATACTTTCTTATAGTATCAAACATAACAAAATAGTATAAAACTATTCAAGAAAATGAAAGTATTACAGGGCATTCAGGACTAAATAACAGAAAATGAACAGTGGCTACTATGTTATCTCATTGTCCATAAAAAATTTGTATATACTATCATATATAATAAAATCAACTAAGATACAACATGATAGAGAACCAATGGAAACAGAAGAACAAAAGCATGGTAGAACTTCAAGATGATATTAAACAGCAATGGCTGTCATAATGCCTTGTTTTCTTCAAAATAGCTGTTTATACCATCACACATAATAAAATCAAAAGAAGAAAACCATTCCAACTAATGAATGAAAACATTATAAGGCTTCAAAGCAATGTAATGGGGAATCATGATTACCATAATATCTTATGTACTCATCATTTCTTTTCACCAGGGAGACTAAAAGTATTTATATATCTGAGTTTGATTTATTTCACTTATGAGTATAGTCTTAAGTTGCATCCATTATTTATAAATATCTCAATGTAATCATTTGTTATAGCTGAGTAATAGTACTCCATTGTATCAAAATGCCACAACTTTTTTTTATTTAAAGAAAAAAAAAGAAAGGACATGAAAAAACAAAGCAGTAAAAGGGTACAAGTAATAGAGAATTTCAAGAAAAAATATACAGTAAGAAATCACCAGTTAATAAGTTACATATTATCTTCCTAGAAACAGTTGTCCAAATTACAAAATGAAAGCATATAAAGTGAACATTCATACAGTGACATTGTAGACAGTTCCGT